TCCCTAGACGTGCTGATGCTGCTAAGGTCCGCCCACCAAGTTTACCCATGCCAACGGCCCTTGACAACAAGGGCGGGGCATAGACCAGGCCGCCGGTGCCGATGTGTGCAGCATCAGAATCCTCAGAAAAAACATATTTTTTGTTCAAAATGTAAAAATTTTATTCTGTTAAACGTTAGATACACATTTAACCAATAATTAGACATAAAAAACCAAAAATTACGATTTTTAGCTATATTTGGGTACATCCGTACCTTAAACAGAATTCTACAAGTTATCCTACTGGCCTGATTTAATCGTTTGATAGTTACACAGCCTATGACCATTGTTGTTGTAACATTCTGTCATTTCATCACCAGCTATTATTTTCATTGATCTGTCATTCAGTAAACCAAAATGTTTCTCTTCATAAAAATCCTGTTAAATCATTATAATTACCCGTCTATATACATTCATCATATCTAAATTTGAAAAAAAGTTTTCAAAATCTCTGTGAAGGAAACATTGCAAACAAAAATACTGGTGTGTACTCTTTTCTAGCAAGATTTAATGGAGACGGCAAACATGTTGTTGGAGAGAAGAGTGCATCCATTGGGGCCCCATCCACTGGGCTTCTGTAATGAACACAATGAAATATATTTCAAAAAACTAATATAAAACATAACACACTCCAATTGCAATCTCCAACAGCATATTACCAAATCACTTTAAAATAAGTCTTAAGCCTGCCACCTAAAATACCTTATATACAAGTACTGGTAGTTCATTTATTTTTCAATTTTTATCATTATACTGAATGAAGTAATCTTAGAACACTCTTCTATGAACTGAGTACATTAATTCATAAAGTCTAATTGATTGAAATCAAGGGTGCTGAACTCCCAAGTTGAAAGAATGTTTTATTTTTCATCTTATTTTTCAAATTTTATGACTGAAAGTACCAAGGGTACCAATCTCCGACTACTCTTCTTATATAATGAATATCCGCTTACTACATAAAACACTTATTGTTGCAAATCAACAGGGTTGAACTCCTGAGCCAAAAAGACTGAACAGGTAAGTAATCATGACATGGTTTTCTTTTGCACAGAGTACTAGTACATTTTGTCTTTAAACAAGACAATATTTGATGACTCATAGTTATGTACTCCACAAAATTCCGGTTTTGGAGTTCAACCCTCTTTGAAATAGACTCAATATACTAGTATAACCAAGGGCTGACCAGCAGTCCCTCAGTATTCATCTCATATAAACGGTAGCTCCACATCTTTCTCTCCAAGCATATCATATTGTAAATAAGAATTGTCCAACTGCCCAACTTCCATGTTTCTGCTTTCTCTCCTCTTACAAAACAACAGGAAAGAAGAATGGATCCATATTTTAAAAATCTGCTTGTCCTCATTCGACTAAATTAGCATTGTTTCATTCTGTTTTTATTGTTGAGTATTGAATTTAGATATATCTCAAATATTCAAGTTTTTTGGGGCTTAATTAAACATTGAATATTAAAATCTCAAATTTGACTGTTTGTTGAAAAGCAGAAACATTGAAGGATGACAGGTGTTATACAATGTATATTTACACTACTTTCCTGTGGAGTTCATTGTAAGGATAATGGGATGGTGTGCCATTCTCATCTCTGCTCACTTTACCCTCTGTGAATCTGCTCAACACTATACAGCAGTTGTATAATACTGCCCAATACTTACATTTATTTCACAAGGGGGACACTCATATTTCCATCTGGCACTTTGTCACTTAGTCGTGGAAAAATTGTCAAATTCGGGACATTTTAACTCTTTTAACACTTTGTCAACATTTGGGAATCTTAAGCCTGAGAACACTGACAAAAGTTAAACCAGAAGCGAAACCTATGAATTATATTTGGTGCGAGTGATCTGACATGCTCAGGGTACAAATGTCTGCGCTCGTCTGCATGGTGTCAGAAGACCGGTCATACAAACAGTTTAGGTCCAGGGGGGGTTAAACTCCAAAGCTTAAGACTGGATTCCCATGCCTCCAACGGGATCCATCTAACTCCATGGGGATTCACGCCAAACTGCTATCAACTTAAGCAGCTTAAATGTCTGTCATGCCAACCAAATAGGGGGTAATTAACTTTTGTGCACAGTAGTTAATTACACCCTGTTTAGAAGGATAGGGGGTAATTAACTTACGTGCACAGTAGTTAATTACCCCCTGACAGCTTTAGTAGGTGTGACAGACATGTAAGCCACTTAAGTTGATAGCAATTTAGTGAGAATCCCCATGGAGATACATCAAACCCAAAGCAAGAATGTTAGGCTCCAGGAATGGTCCCTCAGTCTTTGTTTATGTACAAGACAACAAGTCATCCATTTTTATCATAATTTTTAATAATTTTCATAATACAAAGAATGGACTTTTTCAAGACCCCCTCCCCCCTTTCATAGAGTACACAAAAGAAAGCTGAAAATGATGAACTTTGCCGGCAAACCCCTGGGGGAAGATCATCATTTTTATCACTTTCCAAAATCATACTAAGGGCATTAACACACACACACACACATCCCAACCCCCCCCCCCCCCCCCCCCCCCCCGGTATGGTTTGTAGACCTGTGAAAATGATGATACAATGGATGACCCCTAAAGTATTATGTACATGGAGTAACTACATACCTTGACTTTCTTCATCCAAAAGGCCCATAATATATGGCCCAGGTGCAGAGCTATGGAATATTAATGATATTAATAATATAGGACACCATTTGGGGCATTCAATAGCACATCATCACCTGGGCCTTGTTAAATGGGGACAATATGGGACAGAGACAGCCAGGTTATGTACTTACTCTATGCACATACTGCATTTAAATGCACAGTGTATAAGAAACAATGTCAGAATTACCAACCTGTAACTATTCAATGTGCTTTAGGCTTTGTATAGTCTATTAATTTCTTCAAAATGTCTTTTTAAGATAATAATAGGGCAAACAAAAGTGGTTTCTTCATGGTACGTTTTATATTTATTATTAGAGTATGCATAAATCTTATTATCAGAGTATGCATAAATACTTGATAATACACACTGCCCCCCTTTTCAATAGCTTTGAGAAATGGGCCCTTTTTTCAAAGCTATTGGATTTCCAGGAATGGGCTCTTTATTAAGTTTACGTCACTTGAAGCCTGTAAAAACTTAAACTTCAAAATCCTCCCCAACAATAAATATAAAACACACTGTGAAAAATCCCCTTTGTTTGGCCTATTCATCACTTCTGAATAATATTTTGTGGGGATTTCTCTCCAACATGCCAAAGTTGACCAACATTGTACCGGTAGTTCTGTAACGAGGCTCAGACATTTTCACTCTGTGCTGACCTGCCAGTCGCAAAGTACGGCACGCCTGCATATATCCTAAAGAACTTATTTACAATGCACCAGATACTGGCCAACTTATATCAATGTAACAAACTTTAAGAATTCCTTGCAATGGGCTTTCTAATAGTGTGATCATAGTCAAAGAGTTAAATCTCACCTTCAGGTACACATACATACTAGTACCTGAACCAATGCCTTTCTATAAATATTAGTATGTCACACATATGTACTAGATGTCACATCATTTATATTTTCAAACCATCTTGTGTTCCCACCCTGAATATAAGGGTTTACTAGAAACCTTATTCTGTAATAATCATATATCAGAATACACGTACGAGATATTTCCAATTCTCTTTATCTCAGGGTGTGTGCATGTACTGGAAAAATGCATTCAAAATATATAAACACATGTGCATGTAGTCATCAAAATTTCAAATCTAAATCTAAAGAGAACAATACAAATACTTCAGATTGTGTGTAAGGTAAGAAACATTCACAATCACACTGCTTTTAAATGACCTCCCCTTCAAGACCTGTCTGGCATAGAGCATCTGTCTGAGGATGAATTCCTCCTTCAGCGAACCTAACACTTCAACCATTCCACTTCCAATAATCCCAATATTCAAAACATGGGTAGGCAGGGCGTATATACTTTTCATAAGAATCATTTGAGGCCTCTACTGAGAACAATGCTACTGTGGATTTGGCCAGGAAATGTAGAGAAAATCTGATTATCATAATAAAATTATTTCTTCATGTTCTTGCCCCTAACAGTTACTGCTCAACATTTAACTTATCAGAGAACAAAAGTTTACAAAGTCACTGAAAAATTTGCAAAAGAAAAACTACTGCACTACTATGTCAGGCCTACCCAACTACCAGACTCAGCAACGAATGATCCTGAATTCACCACTATATCGGATCACACTACCCATTTTCAAGGTGTCTGTTAGTACGCACTTTGAAGTATCAGATGCAATACACTCTAGCCTCGACGCGATGTGAGAGTGATGATTCTCAGCGGGGTCGGAAAGTAGCGCATCTTGTCTCAAAATTTGTTTCGGGTATGATACTGTGAAATGCTTACTGACACGTGCCTTGAAAACGGGTAGTATGGTCCGATATACCAGTGAATTTGGGATCATTCAGTGCCGAGTCTGGTGGTTGGGTAGGCCTGCAGGTAACAAACTACATGTACCTATGAAGCATCTACAAAGCTGCGCGCAATAAGTGCAAGTTCTTCAGTGATGTTTTCTATGGGGAATATTAAAAAGGTCTTAGACCTTTTTAATTGGCTTTATTGTAAAGGTCTTGGATCTGATTCAGATGCTTTTATAAAATAATTTATAAAATTGTTTTCTTGTAAACCTAAATAATTCAGAACTAAAATCTGTAATATCAACAGTTCAAAGAGTCGACTCTTTTCCTAAAGACTGTTAAAGCAATCAATGTGTATCACAAAGCTGTTCTGCTTACTCTTGTATGGAATATTGGCATGCACATTGTAGCTACCCTTTTTCATCAGCTGCACACCTGAACAGTCTGTTGTTTTCTGTTTCGGGGGTAAAGCGCAGGACAGAAAAAACAGACTGACCCAGGCCCCCCTGCAGCAATAAATTGCTACAAAATATGTAAATGCTGAATTAAGCAAAATCTGATTGGTATCATTCAGTGGATATTTTTTTGATGTACATGTAAAAAGCAGTGTGATTCTGATGTCACGTTTAAGTAAACTTAAATTAAAATATAACTGGATATTTGAAGGATTTTTAAAAATCGGACAATATGTAAAGTCACAAGTTTTAGCCAAGGTAAACGGCAATGTGGCATACAAAGCACAGATTTTGCGCCCAGTTGTACACCATCTGGAAGCCATTTTTAACTCAAAAAGGTGCGTACAGTGCCACGTATTATAGCTCTACATATGGGGCAGTTGCGCAGAGCTGGGGCACACTGAGTGCAAGCCACCAGGTGGCCACAAGGTAGGAATACCACACTGACATCTTCATCCATGCAGATTTTGCAGGTTCTCTGTTCCTTCAGTCGTAGGTTTTCCTCCATTAGTGACTTTGCTTCTAATGGTAAAAAATCCAAATAATGATGTTAGTTTAATCCCTCAGATAAATGTTAATTAATTACCTTTATTCTAATTATCTTCTGTTTTACAAGAACTTAGATTTAATTTCAAAGACGACGAAATTAACTGTTACCCAAGCTCAAAATTCAATGGACAAACCTTCATCTTTATCACCAGGAGGACCAATAGTAGCCCCTGCACCCTTTTTGTCTTTTTTCTTCTTGTTCTTCTTCTCTTCTGTTTTTTCTGAAAGCAACAGACACAAGCATAGTCATGAAAAATACCAGTTTTGTTGAATGACTATCTTTGCATGTCCCTTAGATATGGTGTGCAGCAAATGAGCACATAAGCTGATTTGATAATAGAAACAGCTGTATATCCCAAAAGACACTAGACCGTAAGTATATGTAGAAGGCTTCAATGTAAAACATGTCTATTTACTCTTTGTCTGGGTTGTAGTGTTTGTGCTGCGTGTGTCTCGGGGTGGCTGCTGCTCTCTGGGTGGCTGGGCTGGCTCAGGTACTCCACCAGCACTTGACTGGCTCTCTTCCCTATTCATGCTTTCCTCGATTTCAAAGATGGCCTCCAAGAGGCTTTCTGCATTAGGAAAATCATCGCCAACAGTGCGGAGTCTGTTTTCAATGGCAGTGCGCACCACTGTTCTAGAACAGCCCATTTCCAGGACAGCCTGGACCGTAGGTGTATCCAGCCTTGCCTTGATCTCTCTTGGTTCTACAGGGAACTGCCCTGGGGGCCTGGCAACTGCCGCAGAGCCTTTTGGGGTCACAACAGCACATTTTGTATTTAAAACTATATAAATAGTACAATCACAAGTTTTTTATAATAAGAACAAATTAACAAGGTAGCAAAGCTGTCAAATGTACAGACAAAAAACAGAAAATAAAGATGCAAAAAAAAAAGGTCATTTTGTCAATTTTGATGCAATAATAAATAATGCTTATAATAGCACTGTCAGTCAACACTGAATTTTAATCATGCACAACAGGTAACATGGTCAATAACAGGAGCAGATCCAGAGATATTTTCTGACAGTATTCCCAAGTATCTATGTTGATCCATCCTCCATTTTGATGGTCTTCCAACAGAAAAAAAAAGATAGCAGTCAATACAAACTTAATAACCTGTCTTCCGGAAGACCCAGAAGATGGTCTGAATCCACCCCTTCAATAACATTACAGTTTACAGAAAATGTGCAGAGCCTAGAGCGGATGAGAGATAAAAGTCACAAATGCAAGTGTTTGAGAAAAAATTGTAAAACTGCCAAGGCAGCAATTGTTGATTATTATTGATTATTGATTGATTATTGAGCCAGACCATCACTAAAAACTAATCATTGTCCTCTTTGGCCCAATTCTGACAGTTCCTGAAAATTTCAGCAAAATTGGTCCATAACTTTTTGAGTTATGTTCATGACAGACAAACAGGGGTGAAAATATAACCTCCTTGGCAGAGCCTGAGGTAAATATAATTTCAATGAAGCTGCTATTCAAACTTTTAATCTTTGATTATATATATTATCAATTAATGCAGGTTAATATATAATAATTATGCAGGTTATTATATATATATATATATATATATATATATATATATATATAATAACCTGCATAATTATCACTGCTTCCTTATTATTAATCTAGCAGAGAGCTCAACTTTTGGGAGTTTACAAGGAAATATCAACAAGAGTGCTTTATGTAATCTCCTTTAATGGCCTATCAATTAGGCAAATGGCTTTATAACTCAGAAATTAGCTAAGTGATACCCAAGGGATATTAACAGACTGACCCTCTCAAAGGTCTTTCAGGCCCATAAGTCACATCTTAAGAAAAGCACAAAACAATAATGCACAAAATAGGAGACTACCAATTCTGATGCAATAATACATTATGTTTTACTGCACAGTCAACATCAAATTTTAATTATGCACAACAGGTAACAACGACGAAAGTAAAAGCATAAGGCTTCAGGCCCATCAGAGTGCAAGTTTATACTTAGAAAGTGACAGAATGAGAAAAATGAAAATTTCACACAAAATTGCATAAATTCAATAATAAATGATAACCCAATTGACCTGGCTTTCTAATTTGAACTGCATGCCAATCCTAAAAATCATACTTGTAAGTTAAAAATAATAATAAGTAACACAGTTTTCTTTTCATAATGTTTGCAGTAGCAATGCAAAAAGATTTTTGTCAATTTTGATGTAACATTACATAATAAATTATATAATAATTATCACCAATTTTTGATTATTGACTATAAATAGCATGGGCATTTAGAAAATTTGATTACTATTCGGCTTCATGTCCATGGGAGCTCCGAGTCCCACAATGAATATGCCAAAAAGATAATGAATATTTCACTCAAATGTATAACTTCCAGAAAAAGAAGCCAATTAGACTGCTTTTCCAACTCATTCTGCATTTTAGTCCTGTGTTTCTTTTTTAAAGGTTTGACAGTCATAACACGGTTTTCCCATAATGCTCATCATAGCAGCAGCACCAAAAATTGTGTTTTCTTCTATTTTGATGCAATATTACATAATGCTTAACAGCATAATGACCATCAATTTTTAATAATAGAATATTAGTAACATGGACATTCAGAAAACGTGACAAGCAAAGGTCTTCAGGATCATGGAACTTCAAAGTCACACCTTGAAAATGCCAATAAGTGAAAAATTAAATTTTCACAAAAAACTGTTTAACTGCCAGAAAAAATTACCAAACAGACTGCATTGCCAACTGAAGCTGTATTTTAGACCCATGTTTCTTTCCTGTAAGTTTGAGAACGGTAATTGACATGATTTTTGTTAAATGGTCATTATGAGAGCAGTGCCCAAAATAGGGGTTTCTTCAAATTTTGATGCAATATTACATAATGTTTAACAGCATAATGACCATCAATTTTTAATAATGGAATATTAGTCACATGAACATTCAGAAAACGTGACTAGCAAAGGTCTGCAGGCTCATGGAACTTCAAAGTCACACCTTGAAAATGCCAATATGTGAAAAATTAAATTTTCACAAAAAACTGTTTAACTGCCAGAAAAAATTACCAAACAGACTGCATTGCCAACTGAAGCTGTATTTTAGACCCATGTTTCTTTCCTGTAAGTTTGAGAACGGTAATTGACATGATTTTTGTTAAATGGTCATTATGAGAGCAGTGCCCAAAATAGGGGTTTCTTCAAATTTTGATGCAATATTACATAATGTTTAACAGCATAATGACCATCAATTTTTAATAATGGAATATTAGTCACATGAACATTCAGAAAACGTGACTAGCAAAGGTCTGCAGGCTCATGGAACTTCAAAGTCACACCTTGAAAATGCCAATATGTGAAAAATTAAATTTTCACAAAAAACTGTTTAACTGCCAGAAAAAATTACCAAACAGACTGCATTGCCAACTGAAGCTGTATTTTAGACCCATGTTTCTTTCCTGTAAGTTTGAGAACAGTAATTGACATGATTTTTGTTAAATGGTCATTATGAGAGCAGTGCCCAAAATAGGGGTTTCTTCAAATTTTGATGCAATATTACATAATGTTTAACAGCATAATGACCATCAATTTTTAATAATAAAATATTAGTATCATGGATATTCAGAAAATGTGACTAGCAAAGGTCTTCAGGCCCATGGAACTTCAAAGTCACATCTTGAAAATGCCAAAATGTAAACAAGACAGCACTTTTCTGAAATGGGTTTATTTCCATTTTTAACACTTTTTTAACATAAAACAAAATTAACAGTTTACTGCCATTTTTATATGACCAACTAAGAAAATTGATGAGATGGGAAAAATATCAATAGAACAGTGTTAAATGTCCAATTTCCTCCATTCTGAGATTCTGAACATAGTGGATGATTGAATCTGACAAACTGCAATGATATGAGTTTATTTCCATTTTTGAAACTTTATTACACAATACACGATAACAAGTTTACCATCATTTTTACATAATCAACTAATAATGTTGTAAAGATGCAGGAAATGTCAAACAAACACTTTTACGTATCTTATTAGTTAAATAATGAGACTGTTAACATGCCTAAGAATTGAATCTGAGGAAATGTGAAAAAAACAGCATAACTTCTAAAATAATGGCCCGATTATGCTGATTTTCGAACTCAACCTGCGTTTTAGTAAGATTGACCACTCCTGTGAGTATAATGACAATTGGCCTATCTGTTTTTCTTATATTGTGTTATCAGGGTTGCATATATGCTGAAAAAAGTGAAAAAACAGCATAAATTCCCTAAAAATGACCCCATCATGCTGATTTTTGAACTTGACCTGCGTATTATGAATATTCATCAGTTCTGTAAGTTTCAATCCAAAAGGTAAAATGGTTTTCCACTTATCGTGTTATTGGTGCTGTATATATGCTGAAAAAAGTGAAAAAACAGCATAAATTCCCTAAAAATGACCCAATCATGCTGATTTTCGAACTTGACCTGCGTAGTATGAATATTCATCAGTTCTGTAAGTTTCAAGCCAAAAGGTAAAACCGTTTTCCACTTATCGTGTTATCGGTAAAAGTGCACGCCAACGGCAACGGCGACGACAGACACAGGTGACGGCTATATGTACAGACACATCTGTGTCTGTACATAAAAATCATTGACAATAATATTTGTTTCATTATTTCAATGATACTTATAGCTTTGTACTTGTACAGATAATGATTTGCAAGAGACAAGAACAGCAAAATGAAAGACAGGAGAAAAGTTATGAACAAATCTGATAAATATTTAAAGTCTACTTATGTTGAGCACAGGCATCAAATGTCTCAATCATAGTTAGGAAACTAGTTTATGCAGATTATGTATTTACATAATCATTTCAAGGTATAATTAATATGCCCAGCAAAAAGGTTTGTTTTATATTTTTTCATTTTAATATTGAAGACTTTCAAAACAATAAGTCTAAGAGGCCTGCTCCACCATAAATTTATGACAAAGCCATGTGCTCACATTGTTGACATGCATTGCCTCACTTTCAAACAGTATCAATAAAGGAGGCATGTGAAACTGGCTTTTTATTAAGTTTAGTTATGTGCAGGGCTCTAAGGGCTTTTATTTTGAAAATCTTCAGTAACGATACATATAAAATATACTATTCAACATATCTTTTGTTGGGCCCATTGATTACTTTAAAAAATGGTATTTTGTAGGAATTTACAGTTTCCAACACACTCAAGTTGTCTGTGTGACCTAGTTTCCTAACAAGGTGCAGACATTTGATGCCTGTGCTCTTACTTTGAGCAGGTAGGGGTGTCGCAATCGCAGGTCTTGGCTGGTTTGGCTAGTGAAAGTAAAAAATAAGAAACTTGACTTGCCAACAAAATGTTGAGTAAAATTTATAAATTGGAAAATCATTCATACATTCAGTGTTTCCATGTATATATCTATATCGAAATGCATTACAAGAGAAGAAATGTTTGACCAAGTTTCAATAGGCTGTACAAAGTTAGTTATAAATACAAATGGCTTGTACAACTTACTGGGTACTGAGGTGGATGTTTAGCTTGAACATCTCTGATAAAGTCCTCTCCTTTGCACTGTTTTACAAACCCACAGCGTGGGAACCATCTGGCATGTTCTGTCCAGGGGTCATCACCATGCTCCCAGTTTCTAAGGCCTCCATCGCAGAAGAAACACTTCACATTGTCAGCAAAGCCTATTTAAATGTAACATGGATGGGTCTGTTGAGTACAATTTTTAACTTCTAAAGTAAAGGAAATGTTTATAAACAATGCATAACGTCAGACTGTGGGGCTCTACATGGTTATCTATCTAACAAATAGATAACCATGTAGAGCCCCACAGTCTGACATTAACAGTTATAAACTGGATTGTGCAAGAATACTTAAAACATGTTAGAAGAGACACTGAATTGCCTAACAACTGCATTATGACTTATGATATAACACGAAATTTACCAGTTAATTCCTTTACAAAGGAAAGAATTATCACCTGCATAAAAGAATCCTGCTTTAGCTAACACTTCTGGCTTCTGCGTGTTATGGGAGGTCCAATGAGAAAATGTTGCTAACCTCGTAGATTCTACAGCAAATCTTTCATGCTTAGGTCTCTCAGTCAAAATACCCAGATCATCGCCTCTATAGAAGTCTATGGGAGAATGCATAATGGCTTTAGTCAAGGCAAGAATTAAAAACATTACCATTGAAAAGAAATTGGCTGTTACATTCCAATAAACAGAGCACTTGTGTAATAACCAAAACTTGATTGCTTTTCAAAAGATATCCTAAACATCTATAGTTTAATTTTCTTTTTTTAATTACTGTTACTATGGAGCGCCATTCACGCAAAAAATGCAGACGTCAATTCAACAATCTATCGGCACTATTTAACAGCCAAAACCTACTTTAACTATCTAAACTTAATTCTACTAAATTAGTTTTGGTCATTTTAATCATTCGTCAAAATCTAACAATCAATAAACGATTCAAAAGTCAGTTACCGCAACTCAACAATCAGTTACCGCAACTCAACAATCAGTTATCGCAACTCAACAATCAGTTACAGCAACTCAACAATCAGTTACTGCAAACGTTCATTCGCGGACTTAACACCAGATGGCGCGCGCGCACCGTCAGCGATCTGAAACGTCCTTGACCTTTTCCATGGTAAATACGTGGTGCCTTGATTTGCAACCATCCAGCTTTTGTGTTTTTAATCTCCAAATACTTTTAAAAATCAATAAAGCTAATAAATAGGCCATCGACAAGAACCTATTATATCGTATCTTTTATATTATTTATTATTACATATCACAATAATAAACGAGTCGCCTTTTGAAGTACGCCCGGCTATAACCTCTATTAAAAAATATCAATTTTTATGAGATTTGTATTGTTTGGTTCCATTGCCTCACTTTCAAAAATTAGAACAGGCGCTCCAAAATCGTAAGACAAAGTCAAAATTTTTTTATTGGCCGAGTTCGCCCCCGACTAGAATGCCTATACGTCCCCGCACCGATACTCCCCTGCACCGATACTCCCGCGCTTCTTTACATCCCCGCACCAATACTCCCCCGCTTCTTTACATCCCCGCATCCATACTTTGTTAAGTTTCTAAATAACAAAAAAGCAGTGCTAAAGAGCTTCGTTTTCTGTTATCTTCCTCCAACCTTCTTTTCTGCTCTTAAACTTCTTTCCCTTGTCTTTTGGAGGCATATTAGAATCTGAATTGAGCAAAATTCAAAATTTTTGAAAATTGTTGGACAACGATTTTGTAGAGACACGAGCATGCGTCGTGAGCACACCTTTTATTCTCGCAGTCCCGCTGTGTTTTCGACTTACTTCGTCATAGATGTGAGGGCGTGCGCCGTACTCAACACGCAAAGAGCACTTTCTCTTTCATTGCTTGCGACGTGCGTCTTGGACCACGCAAGTCTCACTTGCAAACTCCTCGCAAACTCCTTGCGAAGGGAGCAAGTTACGCTTGTGGCCTCGCTGTTTAAAGATTATTTGTAGAATCTATTGGAAATGTTCAGTATCCTCCGTACGTGCTTAAATACGTGCGAACTCGAAATTGCGCATAAAGGACTTGCGTGGCACATGAGATTCTCTGCAAAAATTGGACTCAAACGGGTCGTAAGAGCCCGTGCGGCCGGTTGTGACCGAGACTAATGTGTTGTCGCCCAAGATTTTTTAGGAACTTTGCGGCTTCTTTTGTACAATACTGATGTTCAATTGTAAGCAATTAAGATTTGTATGCACCGCGCAATAGCATAAAAACAACGTCACCAAGGATCTCCCTGTGGCCATTTTTTTTCCACTTATCTCACCAATATCCAAAGCGTTTTTCCATTTGAAAAAAGTATTTCTCATACAATGTAGGCCGTGCTTCCGAGTCGTTGACCAATTTTTCAAATCTATATGTGAAAAAAATTGATGCGAGGTGACAGACTCTCCCATGATAGACAGTCCGGTTCCCATCAATTTGCATAGGTAATTCAGCCCCGCCCTAGATTTTGACCCACTTACGTAGACTGACCCTAACCTGTATAATTAAATGGAGGGCTGACTTTCCGTTACCCAGGCCCCCAGTTTCGTGGAAATTGCATAGGGGGAGTAATAATGCGGGGATCTATTGGTGTGGGGTCGTATCGATGTGCATAATGCAAAAATTTACTAAGGGGAAGTATCGGTGCGGGGGAGTATTAGTGCGGGGGAGTTACGGTGCGGGGGAGTATCGGTGCGGGGGAGTATCGGCACGACCCCCTAGAATATCCTCACAGCATTATCTGCAATTAACCTTCCTACGATTTTTAAAGTATTTTGCAATATAATTTTCATTCCTCCCGATGAATAATTTTATTAATCAAGAGTGGGGGAGGGGTGGAAAATCCCCTTGGTGCCACAAATAACACTATAAATGCGAAAGGAATTACCCTATTACAATGAAGAGAAAATAAATGCATTTGTTTATTTCAATGCGCAGTAGCTTGAGACCTGTGCTATTCCGCATATTATGCGAGTAGGCCCTACATGTGGTTCATTGCCATATCTAATTTCAGTATGATGTGATTGAACGCAATCCTACTATAATATACTTAACTATATCATGACAATACGAACACGATGCACCACATGTACTCGCATAATATGCGGAATCGAAAACATGGAAAAGGTCAAGGACGTTTCAGATCGCTGACGGTGCGCGCGCCATCTGGTGTTAAGTCCGCGAATGACCGTTTGCGACAACTGATTGTTGAGTTACGGTTACTGATTGTTGAGTTGACATCTGCATTTTTTGCGTGAATGGCGTTCCATGCTTCGCGCCATTCACGCAAAAAATACATTGTTGAGTTGCGGTAACTGACTTTTGAATCATTAATTGATTGTTAGATTTTGACGAATGATTAAAATGACCACAACTAATTTAGTAGAATTAAGTTTAGATAGTTAAAGTAGGTTTTGGCTGTTAAATAGTGCCGATAGATTGTTGAATTGACGTCTGCATTTTTTGCGTGAATGGCGTTCCATGCATTCACGCCATTCACGCAAAAATACATTGTTGAGTTGCGGTGACTGATTGTTGAGTTGCGGTGACTGATTGTTGAGTTGCAGTAACTGACTTTTGAATCGTTTATTGATTGTTAGATTTTGACGAATGATTAAAATGACAAAAACTAATTTAGTAGAATTAAGTTTAGATAGTTAAAGTAGGTTTTGGCTGTTAAATAGTGCCGATAGATTGTTGAATTGTCGTCTGCATTTTTTGCGTGAATGGCGCTCCATATGTTACAATTGTTTCAAAAGTAACAATGTATCTTAGTAAAAAATCAATTCCACTCACTTCCCCCCAATGTGGTGGCAGTACCTCCTGCTGCAGAGGAAGTGACCAAAGACACCTGAATTGCTGAGGGCAAGTTTGCTTGATCTGGCTCTAAAGCAATATTGCCCACATCTACACCCAATGCAAACGGGCATGTTGGAAAGTGATGGCGATGTTCCTGCATTGGGCGATCACCTACATAGAACACTAAATGCATAAATAAGGTGGCAAAAATGATACTATACAGCAAAGCTGAGGAATAAACAAACAGTCAACAGAATCATTCAGAATGTTCCATTTAAACATTAATGTAAACATTCCAGTAAATATCATAAATATAAAAAAAAATTTTTTTTTAAACTTATCCAACTTTGCAGCGTTTACAATGACTAACTTCATGATCAGAATAAACATACTTTCCAAAATTTAAATGACTTTTGTAAATATTTAGAACTATAATATGTTGGAACTATAATATGCTAATTTTAGGCTAACAATATAGCCCAGTTCGTCTTACCTTTAGGACATATTTTCAACCACGTTATACCCTTTAGGTGGATATTCATACTGATAGAATAATAATACATTACACACAATAATATATAGCAAGAAATTGAGGGAATATCAAAGGTTTTAATTAATTACCTGGGTCCCAATTTCTAAGAATTCCACTGCAGAATGCACATTGAACAGAATCTGCATTTCCAGTGTAGAAGAAGCCTGCTTTGGCCAGGTCATGTGGTCTCACATGGGCTGATATTGGCCAGTGGGCAAAGGTCCTCAGTCTTGCTGCTTCACTTTTCATCTCAGTAGACTGATGTGTGAAGGTACCAGCAGTTTGGGTTGGGTTTCTATCATTATCCCTTTCATCTTGCCCCCCTCCGATGGTTCCAGCCAGATGTTGATAGTGGCTAAAAGAATCATTTGCTGGTCCACGTAACTGGGAAATCTCAGAGGTTGAGGTTCCAATGCTTATTAGTGACTGGACTAAAACATCTTGATTGGGAAAGCCAAGTGACTGCTGTAAAGCTTGCTGACTTGCCAGATCACCACCCAGTAATCCATGGCTACCAGACCTACCCAAGTTTGGGAAGGGGTCTGTGCCATCTGATGAGTCCCGCAGTGCTACCCCTGGGACTAATGGAACATTTTCTGTGTCTGACCCTCTAACAAATCTGCAATCAGGAAAGCTTAGCCTATGTTGATCCATAGGGTTGTCTCCACGGGACCACTGCCTATGATGGCCCCCACAGCTGAAGCAAACAACCTCATCCCCATTACCAGAGTAATAGAACCCAGATCTTGCCAGCCTTGTAGCAGCCACAGGTGCCCACTGAGGCCAAGCTCTAAAGCTGGCCAGGCGCACAGCTTCATATTTGTTTTCTTCTCCTTGGAGAAAGGCTGGTCCTTTTGCAAGACGACTGAAGTATTCATTTAGGCTCGCAGGGTAGACAAAAATGTGCCTGTATTGCTTTGGGACAAATGCTGCATAATACTTGAAAAAATCTCCAGGCAGACCACTTGTGGGCGATTTCTCTTGAAGTTTGGCTTTAGACACTTCTTCATGCTTGTTTTCAGGAAAATTCATACAAAATAGCTGGAGGATTTCAAGCATTTCTTTTGTGCAATTTCCTTTGGTTATTTGAACTTGCCCATTGCTGGTCTGACACAATTGTGATTTCTTTTTTCCTCTGGCAAAATGCTCCATATTTCTTTTGCTCAGCTTCATCAAGATGCCTCTATTCTCTAATATTCCATACTTCCTCTTCATTTTCTTCTTTTTTCTTTGTCTTTTTGTGCACACTCTTCCTTTCCCTTGGATTCTCTTCTTTGGACATGATACCAGTGGGGCAGATGGACTAACAGTCTTCCCTCCTATTCTTCTTTTTCTGCTCCTCTTCTTTGACCATGGTGCTGGTAATGTTGATGGACTGCCCAGAACCTTCACAATATCTTCTAAGATGTATAACATGTCAAGCATTGTCTTCATGATGGAATCAATTGCATGTGACCTGTTGTCGCTATTGGCAAGTACTGCTATCTTGTCATCACTGTGATGAAATTCATGAATATCTATGTAATTCCCCTTCTGTACCACATGAGGCAGATCTTCTATTATTATAACACCTTGCGAAGCATTGTGGTGTTCTTTAGGATCATCTCCTTCATTTAATAGATCACCTCTTTCCATTTGTCTTCTAGACAGCAAGCAGGACCCAACATATTGGCCTGTTAAGCAGATTTCTTTTTCCTCTTCTATGTATTCAAGGTTCTGACAGACAACCGTAGCTGCAATCTCACGCAAAGGCTTCAATCGGCTGTCACACTCCTGATCTTTATCACCTGCAGTGACCTGATGTGGCTCCATTTCAGATACTTTAGGAGTATTATCTATCCGATCACCATCATCTGCTTCAAATATGGTTGACCACACTGGTTTATCTCTGCATTTTGGGGTTTTCTCCCTTGCCTCTTTTCTTGGTGCAGGTACTGAACATGAAATTGGAATGAGACCTTTGGTGCATGGCATGCTATTGGTCACTTGACTTACATCCTCAATTACAGGCCCATCCACATGGTTTATTATTTCTTCATTGTCTGCTTCATCTTTCACCTGCACAGGTTTTTGGTAAGATTTTTCTTCCCAATCTATTTCATCATTCATGACTAAGTCTTTGTCCATGCCTCTGTGAGTCTCTTTGCGCCCATGGAGGTTCCAAGTCACACCTTTAAAATGCCAATACACAAAGAATTAAATTTTTGCAAAAAAAAAAAAAATCTTGTATAACTTTCGGAAAAATTAACCAATCAGACTGGTTTTCCAACTTAAGCTGTATTTCAGCCCTACGTATATATGTTTCTTGAGAAGAGTATAAACGGGTTTGAAAAGAGTACAAACGGCAAAAACTTGGAAATTTCGTCACTTAAAAATAAATTAATATTTTAAATTGCATAAACCCAACGAGTTTTTCAAAATTACGTTTCCCCGACTTCTGGGTATGACGAAATTTTCAAAGCTCCTACCTTCAGGCTTTAATCCTTGTTTCTCATATATTGTGGGATATTTATCACTACTTCCAAAGTCACTTTCTGGTAGTTAATAATAATCTTGTTATTAGTGCATCTTCATTTCATTATATTAACTTACCCAAGCAGGCTGACAGAAAGAAAGTTGAGAATTGTTTTTTCGGTAAGAAACAAACCTGTACCTCCGGATAATGGAGAAGGGTCAATATAAGCCTCACATAATGAACTAGACGCGGAATATTTAATATTAGGCACTTAAATGGGGTCTAACACCCCATTTCCATAGATTAGATCGAACTACTTTAGATCGACCTAACTCCCTGGGGGTTCACGCTAAATAGCTGTCAGCCGGGCGGACACGAAAGTTAATTACCCCTTACAGCTTGTAGTAGGCGGGGACGGACACTTAAGGGGGATTATCTGACAGTAATCTAGTGAGACTCCCCGCGGTGATAGATCGATCTAAAGTTGTGGGAATAGACCCTTAAATAGCAACGTTGTTGCATGCAGGGTTTCTCCAAGCAGGCCTTCTGAAATTACCATCTTTAACTTCCTAAAAATTGCAGGGATTTCAACTTTTCCATGTACTGTGAGCAGGGGTCAGAGATCAAATGAAAATATATATTTAGAAAATTCGAAGGGGGAGGGGTTTCAAACAATCAGTAATATCCTCCCGCTGACGATCTTCTGCGAACGGAGTCCCTTGAATTAATATGAAAATTTCATTATATTCTTGCTCACATCGCGAACGTTCTCCCGCTGAAGATATGAAAATTGCCTTCTCGTCTTGCTCGCATGGCGAACAAGCTCCCGCTGACGATCTTCCGCAAACGAAGTCTCTTGAACAAATCTGAAAATTACCTTCTCATCTCGCGAACATTCTCCTGCCGACGATCTTGGGCAAACGAAGTCCCTAAAACACATATCTAAATTGCCTTTCCGTCTCGCTCAGATTGCAAACGATCTCCTTCCAACGATCTTCCGCGACCTCGAATACATAATAGGGGCATGGACATAATAAGCAGATTAGGTCCATGATAGGGGAGACCGGGGCTAGTTGGCCCAGTTAGACACTTTTGACCTTGTAGAGCCAACTAGGAAGGAGCGAGAGTAACAAAACCGGTTTCAAAGTAAGCCCCATGAACTAAGCTATTATGTAGATATGCAATGTCATTATTTTTCAAAAATAATGCCAGATGGCTCACAAAAAACGCAGTTGACGTCTAGCTGTCAGGCCCTGTCCCGCCACGGGGCAAGTTGGCACCCTATACGAAAATGAAGTATCGGTACTTTTGCAGTATACCCCCCCCCCCCCCCCCCCCCCACCTCTTCTTTAACTTT